AACCCACTTTCACTGATAACGTCTGATCCGTTACCAGTGCCCTATTATTGAGAAGAAGTAAGTCCCAGGTAGGGACGGCAAAGTGAAGACCGGTGCTGGGGGTGATTACTTCTTGTGGTCGTTGTGCAGTCTCCTGGAGTTTATTGTGGCAGTGAAAAGGCTGGCCCGACGAACCTTTCTCAGCCTTCCGATTTCTCGCCTTCCCCCGACCCAGGTGTCGATGACTAGGGCGAATTTATGGTTATGTGACAGATGTTTTACTAATATGTCTTTAATACGGAATTACATTTTCGTATTTACAGTTTACAATTTAGTTTATTTTCAATAAAAATATTAATTAAAATGAATATTCTTATGAAATGAATATACATTACCATTTTCATAATTGAATGATAAAAACGATTTTGTTGCTGTTACTGACGTCACTTAAATTTCTGGATATACAACTTTAATGTAAACATATATATACTTTTTATTGTGTTTATAGAAACTCATAGCTTTAGGATTTATATATACATACTAAAACACTAATCCTACTTGCAGTTCACTCCGTTAAATATATATATGTATGCCTTCTAATATTGAACACCATAAAAACAAAAAGTTTAAATTTCGTATATGTTATATGTTGTATGTCAAAATGAATTAGTTGATTAATTCCTTTACAGGGACTCCATAGTGGTTACCTGAAATTTCAAAATGTACGTCCGTAAGAATTGTAACTTTTCTTTTATCTTTTCACAGCACTTTTATTAAAATTGAAATTCAAATATGACAAAAAGTTTCATGTTTTCTTTTTATCAAACAGAATCATGCATCTTTTGTAGTTTCAACATATAGTTTTTTACTATACCTACATAATATATGGTATCAGGCAGTCAGCTTAGTAAAAACCTTGAGCGCGTTTCCTCTTTTACAGGTTTTATGTTAGTGTTATATACATAAGATTGAGTGATTTAGAAACGAGCGATATTAGTTGCTTTAACTCCACTCATTTGATAACACATGTATCTTTAGGGCGTGATAGAAGCCTAGGAAATCGTGGCAAAAGTGTTTTACTGTAGTGCTTGTCTTTTAAAGCGCGGAAAAAATTCCGTCTTATGAAATGAATGATAAAATGTACGCCTCCATATAGTTGCCCCCCCCCCCAGTGGCACAGCTGAAGTCTGCGGACTTATAGCGCTACAAACCAGGTTTCGATAACTGGATAAAAAGTCTTAAAAATGGTTTTTAAAGCACTTCCAAGTAGAATATAGTATACTGTGGTTTTTGTACAATTCGCTGATTTTGAAAATGCTGAATACCAAGCTCAGGTTTGCATTTTTTATCCCAAAATTGAAAGAAAACCAGATAGTTGCCCAACATTACACAAGTTGCTATCAGTTTTGATCTACTCAAGATATGTATATGTTCTAAGACAGTCTTCTAACATTTCAGCCCTCCAAGAATTCACTTAAATCAAAATGAAAAGTGTGCGACTAACCAAGGTCATTTTATCCAAAATAGCTGCCAAATACAAAATAGGCCACAACAACATCTTAACTTATCTTATCAGTATAGTGTGGAAATCGTAATATCTTTTGAGGTTGTTTATTGCATCAAGTCTTCCACTGAAAGCAAAGTGCACACATTTTGGCCCTTCAACGTCATTTTTTTGGCAGTTTATACTTTTTTTTTTCATCATAGAATGTCAACATATACAGAAGAGGCTGTAATTTCAGATCATTCAAGAAACAAGTGTAATCTTTTACCACATTTTAATATTGCAAACATCAATAAATTCAATGATATTCAAAAGTTGAATGCTTGGATTAACAATTTAAGATCCGTTTCTAAAACAGTCAGAGTCATCCTCCGTTCCTAGGTCATCAACTTGGATAATCAGTCTATATCCAATATCTTGTTTCAAAAGATTAAATTCATATCACACTGATATTCTTATGCTTAGTGCTACTTAAATGAATGAAATCGAAATTGGCGGCCAAACTGGTAGCTACACTTATAGCATTGATAAGAATTTTATAGCAAATATTCATTCATTAATTAACAAGGTCACGTTTTTTGTTCAACTTGGGGCATGATGGTGGGTAAAACAAAACACGCGGTCTAGTTAACTAATGAATGAATATTTGCTGTAAAATTCTTATCAATACTGTAAGTGTAACTACCAGTTTGGCCGCCAATTTTTATTTCATTCCTTTAAATCATAACACACTCAACCTTTTTTGCTGCATCTTTTTTTTCACACCTAAGGTGTTTTTGATTAAATATCATGAGTTTTGTCAATACACAACAACATAACCACATCAAATAAGAAAGTGACACTCGATAGTAACCCACATTAGCTTTAGGATCGCAACCCTATTATTTTGAACAGACCTTTACTTTACAGAACCAACCAGATTCGTTAAAATATATCGTGATAATTTTTTTCTATCTAAAACAGTATTAATAGCTTCCTTTATAGTAACACCATGGAATTTATATTGTTGCGTCAGCGAGGTCACGTGACTAGTGTCACGTCACGTTTCTAGAAATATCCTGTTCCTTCGTGAATGCCCTAGCATTTACTAGATTAGGGGTAGTCTGGTATATATAAGATGGTCACAATGGATGGAGCAATGTGTGTAGGTAATGAGTAATTG